CCCAGGTGGAGCCAAATCAGCGCGGGATTCCCGGAGCAGACCCCCGAGAGCAGCCCTTACGCCCCGGAGCGCAGGACAGAGCACCGCCTGCAGGGGGCGCGATCTCATGGGAGTAGGACCCGGGTGACTTCCTGGATCCCTGAAAAATGGCTTTGCAAATTCCTTGAGGGCTGGGACTGCCAAGGGGCAAGAATTTGGTTCCAGCCCCAGCTGGCCGGGTCGAGCTCCTGGAGGAGACAGGCGGGTCCAAAGGGAGGAGATTCCGACCCACTGTTGCCTTCACCACCAGCTGTGTGACCTTGGGCTGCTTGCTTAACATGCAGAGCCTTGTTAATCAGTGAGACAATGCATGCAATAAATTGGGCTCTTTTTGGTAAATGTGAAGGGTGTAGAACCTTCTGAGGGATGTAACAACCTGCTCAAAACGCAGATGTAGGGCTAAGGGTTTAGCTCAGTGGCAGACTCCTTGCACAAAGCCCTGGGTTCTATCCCCATTGTGAGGCGTCAGAAAGGCCAAGATACTCCCTTTCCCCAAAAGGGTTGAGGTTGGGGAAGCAGATTCCAGCTGGCTTTCCTTCTACCCTTGTCAGTTGTGGAGGACTGTGTGGTGGGCGTGGGGTTCCTTCCTAAGGTAATGCAAGATTCTTAAATTGAGGAAATTAAATGGTCTAGCTCACTCAAGTAGGCAGCTCCCTTGTGACTTTACCCAAGGACAAAGTGACTGCACTTACTCTCTCCACCCAAGATATCTGTAAAAGGAAGTTAGAGATTAATCTCCACTTAAATATTCCTGGGATTACATCACTGGGAGACCTTGCAATATCCCACCAGTCCTAGGGTTTGGCCAGGGGAGCAGTGAAGGGCCAGGGCCAGGAGGGCCTTGACCCTGGCCTTCTCGGCCCAAGCCTGAATTCTTGTCATCATTCTGCATCAGAATCACCTGGGGGGTGGTGCTTATTCAAACTTGGTTTGCTGGGCTCCTCCCCAGAGTTTCTGACTCAGTGGGGCTGGGATGAGACCTCTGGTGACCTTGATGCTGCTGGTCTAAGGCTGAGGCAAGGGAAGTTGACCAGGGCTAGCCAGACAGCCTCTGCACTGGGACTCTGCCTTCTCTGTCGAGGTTCCCAGAAACCAGGTGCTCCTCCCTGGGCAGTCCCGGTCTCCGGGGAACGGACTCACATGGGAAAGGCAGAGGTGGCATCATTAGAGGTCCTTTCGTGGTACCCTACAGTGCTCTGTAGACAGGACCTTCTTCCTGAGTCCCATCATTTCACCTGACCAAGAGGCCAGTGCCCAGAGGCAAATCTGAAGGAATGGTCAGGTTGGGTAGTCTGTACCCAGCCAGTGCCCCATGGGATTTTGTGTGTGGTCAGGTATGTTTGGAAGTAGCTTGCCTGTCATATTTTGTTAGTAAGCATAGAAAATTCTTAAATCAGTAGAAGTTAGAGCCTGTCAGCAGGATGACTAGGGAAGCAGAAATGACCTCGGAATAATGAGGAAGTGACTAGCAAGTTTCCATCACTGATGCCCATGAGAAGGCCCAGCATGGGGCCCTGGAATCTGGATGGAGCTGGTGCTGAGATTCTAGGACCCTTGGCTTAGGGCCTGGAGCAGACCCAGAAAAGATGGCACCCACAGACTCCCCTTGTGTCCTCCCTACCCCTGGGGATAGTGAGAGAGGCAAAGTGCTCACCACACGAGTGTCCTGAGAAGTGAGAGTCAGTGTCATGGGGCTCATGGCCAGGTGGGTGGAGAGCGGGTGATGGACAGGGTGGGCTCTCCTTTTGTTAAAACTGGAAATAGCCATGTATGTGGTAGGCTCTGAGCGCAGAATCTGCCTCTTTCTTGGATTTATCTGCCTGTTCTTCAGACAGTGTGATAGATCCAACACCTGTCCTTGCCCCTCTCCTATTTAAATGCCTTGCTTGGGGAAAGAAGGGTGCCATAAAGGGATGAAGTGGCTCAGACCACACGTATCTGACCACCTTGCTCTAAGGGAAAGACCCAGGAACATTCCTAGAGTTCCCAGGCTAATGGCCGGTACACAGGTCCTGAATAGTGAACCCACAGGCACTATAACTATTGGTCAGTCAACAAGCAGGCTCTCCTCCCTGGGCCTTTGTACTTGCTGCTTGCTCTGCCTGAAAAGCTCTTCCTCAAGACCTTCATAGCTGGGCTGGTGATGCACGGGTAGAGTACTTGCCTGGCATGTATCCAGCCCTAGGTTCCATACCTAGCACCTTAAAACATTTTTTCATTGTAAGACTCAACATCCTTTTGAGTTCTGGGCTGAGATTTTACCTCATCAGAAAGTCTGCCATGACAGCCACATCTGAGTCAGCCCCTCCAGTCTCTTCCCTTCCTCCATTATCACCTCACACATCCCTGCCCCTCCATAGTGTAAGCTCTGTCAAAAAACAAAAGAACAGTGCTTGCTTTCATGATCTTAATCGGCTGTATTTTCCTTTCTGGTATTGGGCAACTTCCTTCCATAAAATAGAATGCTCATTCTCTAAAAGAGAACACACATTCCAATGAACTGGGCAGAGGTTTGTTTTATGGACAGAAAAGGACCTGAAGAAAGCAGAAAGAGCCCAGAAAAAGGAGATTGGTCATTTCTAAGTTTCTTGCCTTGTATGGAGGGGACAGGGAGACAGAATAATAGAAAAATAACTGGTTGGTTTACATCAGGTTACTTCAAGTTACCTTTACTGTGAAAGAAAGCAGAGGGAACTTCATTATTATGCCAACTGAAATTGCCTGTTTGGGCAATTTGGCTGTTGTTTCTTTTAATCTTTATTTCTTGGGGCTGGGAATTTAGCTCAGTGGTGCCAGCACCTTTCTCACAAGGGCAAGGTCCTGAGTTTGATCCCTGTTACCCAAAACAAAACAAAACAAAAAACAAAAACAAAAAAAAAACCCTTTTCTTTGGAAGATCAGATAAACAGCTTAATTTCAGTATAGTAATATAGAACCTTAGCATCAGAACTCTGTTTTGGTTTTTAGCCTGGTCTTTCAGGTCCTAGTGCAGGAGCTTAGTCCAAAACAGCATTTTCTTGAAATTTCTTATTGTTATTTATTTATTTATTTATTTATCCTTTTGAGACAGGATCTTGTTATGATACCCAGACTGGTCCTGAACCCTCAGGTCAGTTAACACTTCTGCCTCAGCCTCCCCAGTAGCTGCGAGTATAGGCACGTGCCACTGTTCTTGGGTCTGTAATTTTTAACATCTCTAAGAGATCAAGGACTTTGATGTGTTCACTGCTTATGACAGAGTCAGACACACAGTAGGTTTTCCGTAATTATTAATTGAATAAATTGCATTATTAATTGCATAAGTTGGTCAGTCCATTACTATGTTCTGATCATTGCACTGGCCATTGAGGGACAAGCTCCACTCTCACTACCTTTGTTCCTTCCAGTGTCTTCACATCCCCTCTCTCCAGGACCCATAAGGCTAGAGGAACCTGGCCCCTACCCAACCCTCTGCCCTGAATCTGCCCAGAGCTTCCCTGCCCCATGGGGCTCCAGCAGCACCTGCCTGCTCAGGTCCTGGAACAGCAGCTCTGATGCTGTTTGAATGGCAGGCCTTTTATGAGGATCTACTGGCCCTCTTTTTGGGCCTCTGACTTCTGCAGCCAGAGTAGTGCCCAACTCACATGCTTACCACTCTCTAATACCTTTGCATATTCTTTTCTTTTGGTGCTGGGGATGGAACCCAGGGTCTTACACATGCTAGAAAAGTGCTCTACCTCTGAGCTACATCCCCAGCCCACCACTGAATATTCTTGATCATTACTTGAATTTTTCCATTTGTCTTCTATTTCTCTTTCCCTCTCCAAATACCTTAAGCTCCATGACAGTTGGGATTTTGTTCCTCTATCACTGTGCCATATCTGGTCCTTAGAGTTGGGGCTGGCTGGTAAGATTTGTTAATTGATGGACCAGGTGTCAGATGTGTGTGGGGCCAATACTTCCCTCTGTGAGACTGTGTTATGTTCGGTGGGAACCAGACACCTCTGGGAGTTGTGAAGAGCCCATGAAATGGCTGTATAAAGAGCCAGCAGACACTTCTGTCCAGCGTATGGGTCCCAACAGACTAGGATCTTTTGTGTGTGTTGGGGGGGCTTTAACCCTGGGCCTTGTGCATGTTAGGCAAATACTGTACCACTAAGCTACACTCCCAGCTCTTTTCATGAAAGGATCCCCTTAGCCTGAGTGGCATAACATACATTTTGTCATAAAGGTACAGAAACTTGGGTGTATAATGCCCACATTTATTATTTAGGATATTTCTGCTAATTATTAATTTAATTATGAGTGTTATTATATAAAACAGTGGGTACTTAACTGTAAAAAATACCTAAAAATAAAGTTTTGAATTTTTTTCTTTTTCTTGGTACCAGGGATTGAACTCGAGTCCCTGCACTTGCAAGGCAGGTGTTGGAACCTCTGAGCTAAATCCCTGTCCCTGAATTTTTAATATTTATTGAGTATTCATAAAAAGTATCAAAACTTTCAACATTAACTGTATTTTGGTGTCTAAAGTCTAAAAAATAACAACAGAAATAAATTCCTATAAAAACTACAATGAAAATACCAACAGCACTCTACAAAAAAAAATCTTTACTTCAATTATCACACCTAAGGTGACCTTCGCACATGACAACAGCATATTCTATACACACATATCGTTTACACAGCACATGTGTTTCACTTTCCTGACCTTTTTGTAGGACATACTTGACATGTTGCTAGTCTTACTGTTTTGTCAGGAGGGTCTTATTATATTATACAATATGTAGTTAACAGAAACATAAAATATCAATAAAATAAAGTATAAAATTCTAATACTAG